AAGACTTCTTATCCCTTTGCTGGGAAGTGTTCAAGAATACAAGTTTTTATTATAGTTGCTTTAAAGATAAGTTTTGAAATGTCTCTCATTTACTCAGCAATAAATCAGTTGCTCAATCATACTGTCAAACTGAAAACAAGAGGAAAGAAAAGTCAACTTAATGGAACCCAAACAGGGAACATGTTTCCTGGGATGAGAATGTATCAAAGGCAATTTAGCAAGCCCTAACTCCCCTGGGCAGTCAGGGTTGTATCATGTGTTATGGGTAAATTATCTATTTTGTAAGTTAGGCCAAAGTGTGCTCCTTCACCTAACTGTGAAAGTATTCTTGAAAGCCCATGAAACCTTATTATTCTAATTACCAAGAGGAGGAGCTGATAAATGAATTATGAGGCCAGGTATCATTGTCATTAAATAGACCTCACTCAATTATTTATCCCTGGGTGTGGGGTTACAGCTCAGAGAGCTGTGCATATTATACCAGCGCTTGCTTGAGCTCTGAGACCTGGAGACCAGCTCATAGTCTTGGCAGGTGGCTTTTGTTGAATGCAGTTCAAGAGGATGACACACATTTTTCAGTCAGAAATTTGGATGGTGTGAGGCCAACAGGTATTCAAAGTTTATCCACAAAAGTCTACTTCAATTTTAGCCACGTGGAAAAATCATTTTAGGTTATCCAGATAAATATAAAATGGTAGGAAAATGGATTAACTGTAAGAAAAATTTGAAGAACTGTTCTTGCTTTTCAATTTTCAAAGACACTGCTCTTTCTTTTCTTGCATTCTGATGTGTCATGGGCACATCAGTCAGTGTTTATCTTTGTTTTGGATAGTTTCTTTTTGCATTTTGCTTCTAAAAGCACAATGAAAGATTGTCTTCTGGTGAAGAAATCCTTTATCAGGGAGGAGGGATTGGGTGATGCTGGTTTTATTCATCCTGACATCCTGCCAGCTCACTGCAAAGGTCAGTAGTGGAAACAGTGTTCTCTCCTTGAGTCACTGACCACATGCAGTCCAGTGTTCTTTCTTCTAGGCCTTTGAGCAGCAAGAGTGCTTCCTTACATCCCAAGAGCATCAAATTAGGGGAATCAAGAGTCTGTTCTCACTAAACACTTACCCTCTACCCACCCATGGCTGCTGACTTTGTTTTAAAGTCATTACCCAGATTCCTGATGAATTGAGACTAGTAGTTATATTGGCCAGGATGAGCAGTGGGGAGCAGGAGGAGGTAGAAAGGCTGTTCAGGGATCCCTTTTGAATTAAATTTGGGGGCAGATCTCTTGGAGAATGGAGGAGGAGTTAGGATATCAAGGAAGAGAATAAATTCATATCTGAGATTATGTGTGGTAGAGTGAAGTCCAGACTTTTATATTGAGGGCAGTGTCGGGTAGTCATTAGGAATTTGAAACTATGCCTAACATCAGGACAACTTGGTAATTGGAGACAGTCAATAAAATCTCATTTAGATTGTTCAAAGGAAAGTTATGTTCATAATAAATGACAAAAACCTATGACTGCCATGTAAATAAGTTTCTATATTGTTAAATGAATTTGTAAGAAATTTTCTGGTGATTTTAATTTGGTTATAACCCTGACTTTCCTCTTTCTCTCTTAAATCATGATAGTTGTTTCTGTATCATAATCATGAGCTCACAATTAAAAATCTTGTCAGAAATATAGAGTAGAATAGCTATTTTTTTTTTTTACAGTTCTGACTGTTTAGAGAAGTCTAGTTTTCTAACCAGCCACTCATCTAGTAAGTAATAGAATTCTAATAGGCCAAACTGAGTATCATTTCAATTATCTGCTAAGTATCTAGAGTAGTGAATACACCCATAAAATAGGGACTTGACACATATGAAAAGCAAATTTTACTATGAAGATTTTTGACTTGCTACTTATGTGTTAATTATAATAGAGAATGATGTGACAATTCCTATGTTTAACTGGTTTTATGAATTTAAAAATTCTTGATGCCAAGTAATTGAATTATAGTCAGTTCCGCTATATAACATGGTGTATGGATTCCTAAAAATCACTACGATATGCAAAATCGGGCAATGAAAACCATAGGATTTATAGTAAAAATGGGAAGAGGGGTACAGTACTCAGAAATGTCTTCAGTGACACACAGAAAGACAGATATAAAATGACAGCAACATTTTACAAATGCTCAGTGGTTAAGAAATACATAAATTCTACAATAAATGTGGCAGCTTACTTTGAAAAAGACCCACAGTTTGCTGTGGAAGTGCTTTAGCAGGGTTGCAATTTGTGTTACTGTAAAGTGTGGAAGGAGGGTCAGTGTAGCACCAGCTGTGAATGGATGTGGTTTTGCTAAATTAGATGGTACAGTCAGAGAGCTGGTAGATGAGGTGTGTGCATTTTGTTTATTCTTACACTGCTAGGTTTAGCTGGATGCAATTTTCAGCATTCTCTCAGTGGGGTTTTTTTTTTTGGTAGATAAAATCACATATAAGCAAACAAAATTTTGTGTTACCCTCAAATTGTTCCGTAATCTATCCATCATACTAGAACAAATTTGCAGTTTCAAAATAAACATTACTGTAGGATTGACTGTGTAATAAACCCTTCAAAACGTTCACATCTGTGATCTTACCTTATTCTTGCCACCATCCTGGCAAGCAGGGAGGGAAGCAGTTGCCTGATTTTTACCTGTTTGTTGGGGAATTCTGACCTGTTAGAGGCCACACAGTAACTAAAGGGACCGGTGCTAGAACTTGCTCAGGTCTCTGTGAGCCTTGGGCAAGTGTGCTTTCTTGTGAGAAGCAGGACTGATGAATGTGTGCACAGAGAGCATCAAAAATGTGGCCAAGGTGACAGAGACAAATCTCAGAGGCTGAGTTAGAATCGTTACCTGATTTTGAGTTTAGATCCGTTCAACATTTTATAAATGTCTGCTAGGTGCCACACTCCTGTCTTATCATCTCTATGATAAATAGGTAATGCTTAAATGTGATGTGTTTTCTTGATTGCATAAATCTAAAACCCAGCCATGAGAACTTAGTTTATTCTTTTTGATGTGGCTCTATTGGATGTTTTAGAACGTGTAGAATGTTTTAGAAACCAATTTCAATGACTCTTCACATCCCAGAGGTCATGTCAAATGTCAGGGTGTTTGACAACAAGGCTAGTCTAGTAACTTTTCTCCATTCCTAGGAGGCTCCCCTATGAAGTTTTGGAGAAGACTAATGAAGAAGGGTATAATCCCACAGCCTAGAATGACTTTGTTTTCAAGCATTAATTGATGTTGAAAAATACGATTATTACATACTTCCCTGTCTATATATAGATATCTACCCCGAGTTATGCTATTTAGCTCTATTTGCAGGAGGTTTAGGTTTATTGAGAACCTCCTATAGTCAAAGTGGCGGTCAACACTGTGGGAGCTACAGAAGAAGATATTGTCCATGCCATCAAGGAATTGGTCTGGGGCTGGGGGTGGGAGGGTGATGGCTGCAGACAATCTTCTCGTTGTGCTTGTGTGTTTAATGGCAGAATGTGGGTGGTGCAAAGGCATACGTGAGCAGTAAGGCACCACTGTCTAGTTATTGACTGTGTCAGTGGCTATGTGTTGTGTTTTGATCACTGGGTATCATAAAATCATGAGTTCAGCGCTAAGAACACCTTACAAATAATCCTTCACCGACTTTTCCTATTTTTCAAGATTTATTTTGTTTGTTAATAAGTTTATTTATAGTCATGTGTTGAATGGTCTTATCTGTAAAACTGCATATTCCAGGGGCCATCCAGCTGACAACAGCACTACACCTATATGATCACAGTCCAGGTCTGGCTTATCTCTTGGGTTCTCTATGGCCCCTGTGATGTCAAAACAAGCCTGGCCCACCTCTACTTTATAAAGATTTTTCATATATCAAATAAACAACAATAACAAAATTGACCAAAGTTACAAATAGTGTACATTTTTAATACTATATAATAAAAGCCTAAAATGCTAAGTGTCCGACTGTTTGTTCAACTGTTTGACCAGTTGCTATGATGCACAATGACCTCCAGGGGGCAGAAAATCCAACTAGTAGGTTAGCTTGCTGCTGGGGTCTGGTGGATCAGGACTGGGCGAGATGGACTAGACATTCCCTGGAGACCTCCCGTGGTCCCTCCCCGGCCCCGATCATTCACCAGTGGGGTTCCTCGGCCTGGCCTGCACCCTCTTGCAATCCGGGACCTCTTGGGGGATGTTGGAGAGCTGGTTTCAGCCTACTCCCCTCAGGCCAGACTGAGGGACCTCACCAGTACATGAATCTGTGCACCAGCCTCTAGCATGTTTATATTACCCATTTTGATGTTTTTTTAAACAAATACACTAATATAACTACTGTAAATAAATATTTGGAAATTATGGTAAAATATGAATTTGAAGCCCTTTCTAAATGCAGGGCTAAGTCATTTGTTGAGGATTCCTTTCTATTTTCCTCTTCCCTCAATCACATTGCTTTACATAATGTGATTTTTCTGTTTTAACTCATAATTTCTTTTACAAGATTAAATACCAGGTCAATAAGTATGTTGCATGTCAGTTTGTCCTAAACTCTCTGCCCTATTTTTTTTTTTTTAAATAATCCTTAGAAAAGAAGGAAAGAAAGTATTTTAAAATAAACATTCTGACTGCCAAAATCTGAAATAAAGTTCAGATTCAATTTTATATGTGGTAGAAATGAGAAGAGCTTGGGTTCTTTATTTTGACATTCAGTATAAATTCCTTACTTTTCAATGACTTCAGTTGATAAATAAGCTAGACTAAAATATCTTATTCTTACTGGCCAAAATTTAAAAATCTTAAATATCCATTACAAGTTCCTAGGTCATGAAATACAGCTTAGATTCACTTGTTAAGGGTTTGGAAGAAAAAAGATTGAAAAATTAATAAAATTAAATGTTCACTACCTCTATATTCTATTAATCTCCATCCACCCCCACCCACCCCTTATTTTGTTTTGTTTTGTTTTCTTTTCTTAGGGAAGCAAAAAAATTTGTGAGTGAGAATGAAGGAGCTCTTGGGAAAGGAAAAGGAAAGCGGTGGTTTGCATTTAAGATGATGATGGCCAAGGTAAGTATTTCCATAACTCAGTTTGGTTGATGCCATATATTCGTAATGGAGGCCATATTGACTTGTAAAGGGGAGAAAATTGATTATATTCTGAGAAAGAGGGAAAAAAGTACACTTTATATGTTTAAATCACATATACATACACAGTACATATACACTATATCTGTGATATTAGAACTTGGAGGGGTGATTCAGAAAAAAATCCCAAAAGGCCCCTTAGAGGAGTTTAATTGAAAACTAAGTTCAGAAACATTGATTCATGGCAAAAGATTTACTTGTGTAATTTTATCACTCCCCAAAGTAAAAGACTGCCCCTTTGATTTTCATTACCTGATAGTAAAGAGGTTCAGGGTCAACATTTCTTTCTCCAAATGTCTACAAGTAACAGAACCATATATATAGGTCTTCCCTACCATGAGCATAATCTGTGAATTGGATAGTAAATAAGACAATACAAATGATATACCAATGAAATATGGAATTTTGGAAAATATAGGAGAGAAGCTAACATTTATTTAGTATTTACTATATGCCAAGCACTGAATTAAATCCTTCTATAAAGTTATATTTAAATGTAATTATCACAGCAAGTTTGGTACATGGTACTATTATCCCCTCTTTAAAAATAAGGTAAATATGTTTCCATAAAGATGTTTTGTGAATAAAGTTCATATATCTTAAATATAATATATAATATATTTTTTGATATATATATATATATAATCTCATAGGTTAGTTTTGTTGTTTTTACAGTGTAAGTAAATGAAATCATATAGTATTTATGCTTTTGTTTCTGGCTTTTTTGATGCAATATTATGTTCATGAGATACATCCATGTTATGGGAGTTATAGTTCATTTTTATTGACATGTAATATTCCATTGTATGAAGAGACCGCAATTTATCCATTCTATTATAGATGGACATTTGGGATGTTTTTCATTTAGGTAATCTTAGAACTTCAGACTTGCCTCATACTGTTATGTAGGCTTTATGTGCCTGTGCAACTCACACATTATCCAGCTTAATGTACGCACATGCAAAGTTATCTGTCCCCATTCTTCCAAGCGATCCTCTGGATGGCCCAACATTATGGAGTACAGTGGAAGGAAGTTATTTTATTAAAACAAATTTGTGGCTTTTTTTCTTCTTCCCTTTCCTATGACACCATAGCTTTCCATTTAGCTGACTGCTCTACCTCTACCAAAGTGAAGTGTCCCATGTCACAGTACTTATCATCTTGTATTGAAATATACAGTATATTCTAATAGACCCAGAAGACCTTCAAGACAGGATCTATGTCTTACTCACATTTCATTGATTTCTTCATGTGATGAATATTTATTTGATTAATCAATACCATTTGCCCATCACCTTATTAGATGCAAAATCAGTCCCTGCTCTCTTATGTCTGGCAGAATAAACAGGTATTTTTAAGCAAATATTCTGTAAACAAGGATCTGTGAACATTTTTGAAGTAAATTGGTCTGGAGAAGAGTGGAGAACAGGAAGGCAAGTACTGTTTCCCCTGTTTATTTATTTATTTATTTATTTATTTATTTATTTACAAACAGCAACATATTGTGCCAGAGAGCTCTTTCCAAGCTCAGTGTTTTGTGAGATTTGGGGCTGGGGCTGGGGATGAACATCTTGACAAACAAGAGGTTGGGCTTTCTTAATGTTCTTCGCTTCCTTTTCAGAAATGGGTCAAATTTCTCCGTGATTTTGAGAACTTCAAAGCTGCTTGTGTCCCATGGGAAAATAAAATCAAAGCAATTGAAAGTAAGTGCTCAACAGATCTCAGATGGGAGGTTGGCCTAGTTAAATGTCTCATAAGCTTATCAGATGCCTTTCTTAGTGGGAAAGATTAAAAATAATGAGAAAACAAACAAATAAACCTGTGTTTTACATCTTTTTTGCTCACTGTGAAGACTTACTAGTACTTACCCATCACAGCACTGGAGATCCCACTCTCCCTTCCCACCAAAATATTCCCCTTCTGATCTTGTTCTTTCTCCTACACAGGAAAGTCAGTGTTGTGCACAAGGACATTGAGTCATATCATGGGAAGGCAGAGATTTTACTTGGGCAATGAACCTGACATTGAAAAATATATATACTCTCATGTTAGACAATAATCAAAATGAATGTCTAAAATGAATGAAGAAATCTTAGAGCCCATTTTCAAACCTCTGAAGTAAAATAAGCAATAATCATCCAAGAACTTGCTGTCTGAATATCATATTATGCCTTCATTTTTATATAATATTCACAGTGTACAGGAAGACAGGAGAATATACTTAAAGAAAAACCTATTTAGAACAATGCTCTAAGCTTATAATAAGGCAAATAAAAAATTTAAAATATTGTAAATATAATAGTAAGTTATTTTTAAAAACAAAGAATATAAAGAAAAAGGGATACCATTTTTTCAAAATATATTTTTATTGATTTCAGAGAGGAAGGGAGAGGGGGAGAGAGATAGAAACATCAGTGATGAGAGAGAACCATTGATTGGCTGCCTCCTGCATGCCCCCTTACTGGGGATGGAGCCCACAACCCAGGCATGTGCCCTTGACTGGAATTGAACCCAGGATTCCTCAGTTCCCAGGGTGATTCTCTATCCACTGAGCCAATCCAGCCAGGGCAGGGATACTATTTTTAAAACCAGTTTTGAGCACAATCTTGCCATATTCTGGTTTCTAAAGGTGTGGACTAGGACCCGATTTTCTCCTGGGCCTGGGTTTTCCTGCTGGGTAAATGTGGCATTGCATTATTAAAATGGGGCCTCCACAGGGAGATAGCACAGTTGCTGGATGCCTCACTGACATGATTGTGCACACTTTCGGAGTTACTATTCCCTGCCCTCAATCTTGCATTATCACATGGCAATGAATTAAAACATATCAGCTTATTAATTGCACTCCCTCCAACATATTTCTGTACCATCCCTTTCTTGCTTTATTTTCCTCAACATTTATGCACAATAATCTAAAATACTGTCTTTTGATTGAATGTTTAATATAATTTTGTTTTATTTTACTTGTGTTCATTTCTTCTGCAAGACAGGAAAGTAGAGATTTTGTTTTATTCACTCCTGGATCACCAGGCCTAGAACATGTTTGACCTTAATAAATATGTGTTGAGTAAAATCTTACCTAATAATAGACAAACATGCAAATTGACCATCCCTTTGCTTCACCCACCAGCCAATTGGATGAGTTTGCAAATTAACCCAACAAAGATGGTGGTTAATTTGCATACGTAGGCGCCCAGCAGTGATCGGAGCCTGCAATTGGAGCTGAGGGGCCCCCTGCCCAGGCATAACACCTTGGCCACAGGCGTTAGGCCTGGGCAGGGGCAGAGCCGGCGATGGCAGAAGGTAGGGAGGGAGCTCACGATGGTGGGTAGCAGGGGCGGAGCCGGCGATTCTGAGAGCTGGGGGTCCCCTGCTCAGGCCTAATGACTCAGCCACAGGTGTTAGGCCTGGGCAGGGGCCGAGCCAGCAATTGGTGTGAACTACATAGGAAACACCTTTTCTGACTGCTCATACAGCTCCCTGTATGCCACTGGTAATATTCTTAGTAACTTGGATAGTAAGAATCCAATAAGGTGGTCTAGGGTTTTTCACCACACTCCTAGTGAAAAAAACGAAGGTCTGCTGTTGGAGGGCTAAGAAATGTCATATCCTGCCCTAGCTGGTTTGGCTCAGTGGATAATGCCTCGGCCTGCCCACCGCAGGGTCTGGGTTCAATTCTGACCAAGGGCATGTGCCTAGGTTGCAGGCTCCTCCCTGGCCGGGGCCCAGGTCAGGGCTCATGCAGGAGGCAACCAATCAAAGTGTTCCTCTCACTTTGATGTTTCTCTCTGTCTTTCTCTTTCTCTTCCACATTCTCTAAAAATCAATGGAAACATATCCTCATGTGAGGATAAAAAAAAAAGAAATGTCATATCCTATGAAAGACACATCTTGAAAATGCCTAAAGAAAATTGTCATTTTTTCATGGTGAAGGGACTGGAGTCCGTGTTGATGAAAACACCTTGGTGGCTGCTGTGACTGGCAGTGGCTGCAGCAGCGGGGTGATGGGGCTGGTGCCTTCCCCTGATCAGCCCGGTCGCCTCCCACAAAGGGAGGCCAGACTGTGGCTTAGGCCCCCTCCCCAAGGGAAGCAGGGAGTAGGCTTAGCCATCAGTAGAACATCCCCTGAGGGCTCCCAGTATGTGAGAGGGGACAGACTGAGCTGAGGGGCCCCCCCACCCCAGTGTACAAATTTTTGTGAACCGGACCTCTAGTTATATATAAACAAATTCTCCAAATATCTACCATTCAATGAAGTTGAAGGAATTAAGACACATCAAAAAACAAATTCAGACATTGTGGAATCATTAGGTTTTAACTGTGCAGCTGAAATATGGTACTTTAAGATCCTGATACAATTTTGTTCTTGCTTTGCCATAGATTAGCTGTTGGCACTGACTGAGCCAGTCATTTAATCCCTCTGGGCCACAGTCTACTACTCATTTCTGAAAATGATAGGGTTGAATCTTGATCAGTTATGAGATGTATCCCAAGATATTTATAATTAATGATAGGGCAGGTTCCAGCCCATCTAAATAAAAATGTCATGCTCACTAGTGTTGCAGTAGCCTGCCTCGAGTGTGATAGAAACAGATGGAATTATTTTTATTGCCGGAAGTTGCATGGAAAAATGAGTTACACCTATGATCACCATCTATCATGTACATTACAGTGGAAAAATCAAATTGAGAGCTACCCTATACTACTTTCAGTTATCTTTTCTTTTCCTCTCTTCCCCCAGAAAATTTGAAACAGTCAGACTGGACAATTTGAGCAAATGTGGATTATTTTCCCTTCAATATGTAATTTATTATTTTATTAGGTGGTCCTATTTTCTTCACCTTTAATGGTGCTTTGCCTCACTGTGGCGAATTGACCTTAATTTTCTGTTCTATCATCATCACAATGATCATTTATTGAGTGCCATCGTGAGTCAGTCACTCTACAAACACTATTTCATTTAATCTTTAATGTGCCTGCAATGTGCACATAAGCCTTCCTATTTTAGAGTTGTGGCTCGCTGTCTCAGAATTTGTTAGTAGAGGAGTTGAGATAAAGGTGAAGTCTGTCTGGGCCCAAAGCTTGTGCTTTTCCCAGTGGGTTATGCTGATTTTTACTTTGAGGAAGATATAAATTTCTTCTTTTGCATCAGGTCCTAGGGAGGGTTCTACCAGGTCTATAGTAAGATGAGTAGTTGTAGATATCTTTAATAGTTATTCTACTTGGGGCATTATTTTCCATAATAAATATTATCAGGTATTTATTTTTAAGTCAGTTATTTATTTACTTATATGTTCCACATTTTATAAGATTCCTAAAGTACTATGATTTTTAACGATAGTTGAAAAGTCTGAAACCTTTCTAGGAGTATACTAGCAGAGTCATTGGGTTGGACTCACCATCTCACAAAAAATAGCCTACCAAAGACAGGGAAAGCATGTGTCTGTGATGGTGTTGGAAGCTGACCTGCATGAGGAAGTGGGGCGTGGAATTGTTTTTCTGAAGGTTGGAGTCTTTTGCCCTATTGACTCTGTTGTTTGGGCAATCCTTTTATATCTCTGGTTGTCTGTTCTCCCATTTGGAGTTTTCACAAAATTTAGAGTTTATCTAGTTATTACCCAAGGCCATGTTCAACTCAAGATTCTATAATTTCATAAATTACTATCAGTTTTAGATATATATATCTGTAAGCACATGACATTCTTTATACTTTTGAATGTAAATGATTGAAATTGTTAAATGGAAAACAGATTTATATTGAGAGACTTGCATAATTTACTTTCTCTGGGAGTTCTTTTCAGAAAAATGTAGGTTTAATGAGTATCCTATTTTTAAATTATATATCTTACATTATAAAACCAATAAAAATTAATTTCCTCTAAAGAAATGACCATTTACACTTACAAAAGGATCAGAAATATATTAATTTCCTTTGAAATAAGAATTATCTAAATATAATAATACCTCATTTAATCTACAGAATAAGCTTGACTTGACTGATTAGTTAATGGAGCAAATACTCACTTAGCACCTCCCATTATCAGGCATGTTTCTAGGCACTAGCAGTGCTGTGCTGACCAACACACGTCAAGACTCTTGATTGATTTTACATTCAAATGACCTAGTGTGTGCGTGTGAAGAGGGGAACTGAAGTTAAGTCTAAAACTTATGCTGCTTCCCTCGTGATTCCACTAAGACCTGGATCCCGTTGACCAGTGTGGACCAGGTACTCACCTGATGACTCCCAACTTTTTTAATACACAAAATAGATTTGATAACTCCTACCACAAAGGCGTGCTGTGAAATTCTACATCACAAGGGGGTGCCATGGAGTTTCACTGTCCTGCCAGCCTTGTAAAGAGGCCAGCCTAAACCCCCAGGGTTGCCCGAAGTAATTCACATCATTAGCTACCTTGTATTGCTCATTACTGAAGAAGTTGTATATTTGTACTCCTGGGAAATATAATCTATACCCATTGTGACACTAACATTACCATTCAAGTCATGAATTAAGTCGTTGAATGTCTTTCAAGCTGGAGATTATAAGTCTTTCCCAGAATCAAAATCGACTTCTTTTTAATAGAATTCAGCATCAAAATTAAGGTCTGATTGGCCTGTTTTTCAGACTGGAAAGATCTTCAGATAGGCAACCATAAGCACAGATTTTAAATGCTCATTCAAGTTTCTTTGTTAGCTTAAGGGC